ACAGGCGCAACCAAATATTTTCTCTCATTGGTGAGTGGGGAATATCAGTACCAAGCGCGCGATGAGACCTAACTTTTGAATGGTATTGTCGCGAGTGTACTACCTTAATGGTCCAATAGATAATAAAAAATCTTCGTGTTTGTCATGCCATAGCACAGCACAACATCCTGAGAAACCTTCATCAGTACCACCAGAGCATGCAAAGGAACAAGAAATAAAACACTGGTTTAGGAATCTAAAGGAAGAATCATTTGATGATGGAGCATTTAATTTTGATTATTCGAAGCAGTTAAGCCATGGTGTTAGAAACTACTATAGTGCTAAAAAAGAAAATGATCCTATTGGATGTAAAGCTTTTAATTATAAAGATATCGCTCAAGCTCTGATCGGCTAAATGAGTTTTATAGTCTTGAAAGCGTGTGAGGTAAAACTGTCATATGGAAAACACAACAGTTCTGTGGAAAAAATACTTTTGAAAGAAGTACCTAAACCAACACATCCCAAAACGAACTACTCTCACCACTCTTGGTTTTGGCTGCTGGAAATGGTTGTATTAACTAATTTCCTAATAGAATATGTTGTTAAATTAACAATAATTTATTCAAAACAGCCTGAAAATAAAATGTTAAAACATATATAAAAACTACTTGCATAGCCAATTTTATTTACTAGCATATAGTAAGATCTAATATAATCTTACATTTCTATGTAAAATAGATGGGGTTTTATGTTAAAAGTGGAGCGTTCAACAGATTATTTAAAAGGGGCTAATTTAGAGATTACTGAGCCGATAGAAGAAGAGCAAAATACGCAACAAAGCAGTAAATCTTTTCAGCCTAAACCTAGAATACGGAGGCAATATAGTCCTAATGATAATAACTTGCAATTACTTTCCTTAATAGCTCGATATAAAAAGGATCCTGCTTTAATTAATGATATTAAAGGTTTACTCAATAAGGTAGATATTAATTATAGAGATAAAGATGGTGATACGTTTTTACATGCTGCCATACAAGAAGGACATCAAGATGTTGTTAAACTCATACTAGAAAAAGTGACAAATATTGACATCGAAAATAATGCAGGTAAAACATCACTAAGCTTAGCTAATGAGCTTGATAATAGAAATCCTAATAAACAAAGTATCATTCAAATGCTAAATACATCTCGGCAAAAGGATGATAAAAGGAAACGTAAACAATCTTCATTTGATCAAGACAATAGCTCTCAATTTGCTGAGAAAACATTAAATCAACAAGATTATCAAGCATGGAGACGGAGGAAACATGGCTGACGCAGGAAGATGTTGCTAATATTGCTAGGATTAAATATGGGTGGCATGGAGAAGATAATAATGTAATATTTGAAATTATTGGATCAGTAGAACAGCTAGGAAGGCAATTAACAAAGCAAAACATAGACAAATTGACAAAATCTAATAAACAATCACTAACATTTATTGTTAACTTAAATAACTTTCATTGGGTAACACTGGTTGTCATTTATAGTAATCAACAATTTTCTGCTTATTATATTGACTCTCTTGCTAGTGGGATACAGAATAATATTTGTAGTAAGTTAAGTGAAAAAATTAGAGAAATTAATATTCAATCTTTTAGCATTGTACAACAAAATGATGGGTATAATTGTGGAATATTTGCCTTAGAAAATGCAAAAATAATTAACGATGTAATAGAATCTGGCCAAATTGATCAAATTGAACAGAAATTAAAAGGTTACAAACCAACTTCAGATGATTTAGAGAACAAGAGAAAAGAGTTTGCAAAAGCGTTAATTGGTTCTAAAGAAGATAGTAGTCCTAAAAGGCGAAAAATGTCTAGTCCTGATCCCCAGCATATGGAAGTTGATGTAGGACTTCAATCAGGATCTTCAAGTTCAAAAAGACAAAAATTAGGATCCCCTAAATCAGGATCTTCATATCAAAGTGGTGAATTAGAAAGCCACGGAATTAGTCAAAAATATCCTAAATTTGGATTGGTACATACCTTACATGGCGATATTTATCAGCTAAAGTTATTAATGCTGTTTGTGAAAAGAGGATTGGATAAAGAGTATCTTTTTGAATTAGCAACAGAAATGGGTGCAGCTGAAAAGTTTGATGATTTGGTTTTTCAATACAAAAAGAGTAATGCAGATGGAACAGAAGAAAAGGTAGGAAGGTTTTTGCAAGCTAAGCATAAACAAGATGAATCTAAAAAAATTTCTGTCAATGATCTACTTACAGAAAAAAATGGAGAATTTAGTCTACAAAAATACTTTATTTCTTATCGTAAAATCCAACAAAATCGAGAGTTTAAGAATGGTAATTTAAAATGTAAAGATTTTGTTATTTGCACGAATATTGGTTTTAAATTTGATGATAAAAAAGGCAATCTGAAGCTAAGTGAAGATATCTTTAATGACAGGATGGATGAAAATGACATCTTAAACACTCAACTTTTTCAATTTAAGGATAAATTCACCGGAAAGGAGCAGATAGTTTCAATATTAAGAAACGCTCCTGATTTAACTAAGCTAGCAAAGAGACTTGCTGAATGTGTATTAGATGGTAAGTCTATAAACGATGATAGGTCTAAAGATGATCCAGAAAGCAATCTTTTTAAATCATATCAAAGTGCATTGATAGACAAAGTCATTGATAAAGAAAGTCACAAATTAAGTGTTGATTTTGTGAAAGGACAGCAACTGCCTGCAGAGACTAAAAATCTTCGAGTCGCTTTTGAAAAAGTATTTAATAATCGGAGAGAGTCTTTTAATTTAGATGATAAACCTGTTATAAAAGATCCAGAAGGCTTTGCTCAGAAAGTTGCTGAACTAATACTAAAAAATCAACCTAATACGGTCGTTAAAGTTGAGAAGAGAAAGTATGCTATAAAGGATAATTTTGATAAGTTAGCTGGTTATGTGTTAATAAAAAAAGATAACAAGATAAGGTTTAGCACAGCATTTTTAGATGATGATGAATTGCCAGGTAATTTAAAAACCTTTAGAGAAAAGTTACGAAGTAAGCTTCCGAAGCTTAACCTTAATCAATACGAGTTTGAAACTTATAAAGACTTCAAAACTTGTGAGGAAATATATGTAGATAAGAATAATTTTTGGGAAAAGATAAAAGAAAAAAAGTTAAAGCTGTTTGAGGATTTTGGAAAGCTAGATACCAATCTCCAATCTGCAGAAAAATTTGTAGAAAGATTTGTTTCTTTGCTAGAAGAAAGTACATTCAAAGAAAATCGAGTTGTAAAAATAAAAAGAGCAGACAAAATTATTAACAAAGATATCGATAAATTAGCCCAACACGTATTGATTGAAAAGGAGGACGAGATCCGATTTAGCTCAAAATTTTTTAGCGATACTCAATTACCAGGTAATTTAAATTATTTCAGGTCTCAATTAAAAGCCAAACTTGAGGAGCTCGATTTTAATTTTAATATACTTAAAGAGTACACATTTTATATCAGTAATTTTCCTAAATTTAACTTACCAGATGATAGTATTGATAAAATAGAAGGCAGTATAAAAGATTTTTTAGATAAATTAAGATTTGCAGTTAACCAGCCAAATGAAGATAAGCTTGGTGAAATTATTAAAGAAGAGTTGGGTAAAAAATTTAACATGATTGATAGGAAAAATGTTTATAGTAGATTCTTAGAAAAAATGCTGGATTGGATGAAAGACAAAGAAGGAAAGTTTTTTACATACAAGGAAGGAGGGACTTTCTTTGAAGAAATAAAGAAAGAGATTTTAGGGACAATCTGGTTTGATGTGAAAGATCCAGTACAGTTATTCACAGGAAGAAAAAGAGAGTTAAGTGAGTTACATAAAACATTACAGCGAAACCAAGGTAAAGATAAGATTATTACAGTAATATCACAGATGACCTCTATTAGCGGTTTGGGAGGAATAGGTAAAAGTGAACTGGCTAGAAAGTATGCTTATGCTCATGGGAATGATTATGATGGCAATGTTATATGGATAAATGCTGAGAATTATGATACTCTTAAAAAATCTTTTCTTAACTTGGCTAAAGATAATAGGTTAGGCATAGTTCCTACAGAACATAGAGATAAAAAAGAAAAGGCAACAGAAGCTATTGTTAAAGAAATATATGTTTTTTTTGCAAAGAGGAAAAGTTTATTTATTTTTGATAATGCTGAAAAGAATGAATATCTAAATAAGTTCTTACCGCTGAGTTCTTTAGCGCCTAATGCTAATAAGCCTTACATTTTAATCACTTCTCGTAATCGGGAATGGGAAAAAGGAATAGAAGTTATGGATCTGAATGAACTAGAACTAGAAGATGCTATAAAGTTTGTGAAAAAAGGGTTAGGTATAGAAGATAAGTCTCAAGATCAAGAGATAAAGACTTTAGTGGAAAAATTACAACGCTTTCCTTTGGCTATACAACAAGCAATAGCATACATTGAAGATCAAAGAGTCACAGGAGGATTTAGCATAGATGATTATCTAGAAGAGTATGAAAAGAAGACAAAAGATTTACTTGATTCTGAAGTGTTCAAAGGAATTGATAATGAGTATGCAAAAACAACTTTTACAACTTGGAAGATCACGATTGATAAAATAGCAAGTGATAGTGACCATGGACAGTTAGCTTTAAAGATTCTTGATGCTATAGCTTATTTTGCACCTGAGAGCGTCAATAGAGAAATATTTCTAGATTTAGCAGGTGGTGATGAAAGAAAGTTGAGATCAGCTGTTCGCTTGCTTGTCAAATATTCCATGGTAAATGGTGAGAAAAAGCAAAGTGTGCTAAGTATCCATAGGTTAGTACAAGAAGTGACGAGATTGGAGTTAAAAGGACAAGAAAAAGAAGAAGAGAGTTTAAAAGAAGCACTAAAGCTAGTTGAGACAAATTTTAAGAAGGACAATATTGATCATGCTATGTCAGCTTGGAGTCACGCAAGCAAATATGAAAAATTGGTGAAAGAATTTAGCAGTCTGCCAAGAATGGTTATCGAAGAATTGTATCATGGTATGAGATATAGCAAAACTTTGCCATTTGAAAAAGAGGCGTTAAAGTCATTAGAGAAATTGGGAAACACGCACTATGAAGTTCTTATAATGAAAAGATACCAGGCTAATGCTTATGGCGATTTAGGTGATTATGAGAAAAAAAGAAAGCTTCTTGAAGAAGAGGTTTTACCTATTCTTAGGAAAAATTACGCAGAAAAACCCATTGAAATTGCTAGGACGCTAAGGAACTTGGGTGTCGTTTATGGAGATTTAAGTGACAATGAGAAAAAAAAGGTTGAAAAAGAGAATTTGTTTAAGAGAAAAAAGGAGTATCTAAAAGAAGCTTGCAAAATTTTTGAAGAGTCTTTTGAGAATGATAATATTGAAGTTGCTAAAATAAAAAGAAATTTGGCTAATGTTTCTGGCGATTTAGGTGATTATGAGAAAAAAAGAAAGCTTCTTGAAGAAGAGGTTTTACCTACTTTCAAGAAAAATTACGGCGATAATCATCTTGAATTTGCTAAAGCAAAAAGAAACTTGGCTAATGCTTATGGCGATTTAAATAATCATCAGAAAAAAAAGGAGTTGCTTGAAGAAGTTTTGGCTATTCTTGGGAAATATTATGAATCTGATCATGTGGAAATTGAGGTTGAAGTAGAATTTGCTAAAGCAAAAAGAAACTTGGGTAACGTTTATAGGCAATTAGCTAAGTCTGAGAGTATTTGTGAGGAAGAAAAAAAGAAGTTGCTTGAAGAGGGAGAAAAGTTGCTTGAAGGAGCTTTACCTGTTTTAAAGAGATATTTTGGATCTAATAGTGGAATAGTTACTAAAACACACAAAAATCTTGAAAAAATTCATAAAGATAAGAAAAATTTTTAAGAGGTTATACTTCAGGAGGATAAAGTTTCAGCTGGAGAATGTTTATCAGATTCAAGTTATAGAAGGAAAAGAAATGCTGAAAATGAATGTTTATTTACCTGGGAAGACGTAGATGAGTTCAATACAGAAAAAGATAAAAAAAGAGATTTTAGTAAAATTAAAATAGATAGTGAGAAGTTCGTTGACTACATAAAAGATTTACCAGAAGAAAAATGTTCTCAGCTAATTCAGCTAGCAAGTGAAGCTCAAGTTACAGGTAGGTCTCAAGGTCTAGTCAATAAGCTTACTAGTAATCAGAAAGTCATAAGTCATCTAAATAGAGTGGGAAGAATCTCGGGTATGACGGAGAGCGAGTGGTGTCAATTGCGTATGGTGACCATGTTGTGCGGTACGGGGAAGTTCAAATAAAGGATTTATTGAATTTAAGACAACGAATTAAGGCTGAGTTAAAAGTTGCAGGTATGAAGCCAAAGAGAAAGATTATTTTTTTAACCAATAAAGGAATTTTATAAATGCTGCTAAAAACCTTCAAGCAATTGTTTAACAAACAAAAGATAAAAAGCTCAGCCTGGGACGCTGCAGGGTCAGGAAGAAGGGTAATATATTGGCAAGGAGAAGCGGGAAGCATAAATAATTTGCTTTCTCAAAGCCTTGAGCACTTGCGTAGCCGCTCTCATGATATGGTAAGGAAAAATCCTTACGCTGCAAATATAATTGATACAATAGTAAGTAACTCTATTGGAACAGGAATAAAACCGCAATCAAAAGCAAAGAATGCAGAATTTCGAAAGAAGGTGCAAGAATTATGGCTAAGATGGACAGATGAAGCAGACAGTAGCGGAGTAAGTGATTTTTATGGATTACAAGCTCTAGTATGCAGAAGTATGATAGAGGGAGGAGAATGTTTTGTAAGATTAAGAACGAGAAAGCTGGAAGATAGATTTTCTGTGCCATTACAACTGCAAGTACTTGAGTCTGAACATTTAGACAATAAAACAAATCAAACTTTAGCAAGCTTTAGCGCTCCTCGCGTGCACGGTTCAGGTGCGAAGAAGGAGAAATCGCGGAGAGAACTCTCGCGCGTCTTTTCTCCCCATTGTCTCTCCCGCCTCGTCCTCCCCGATCGCAACGTGATCGTGCCGATTCGCACGGCGGGATCACACGGTCGGATCGAATGCCGCTTCTTTTTCCCCATTGTCTTCCCGAGTGTCTCCTCTCGTTAGAGGCCTGACGTTTTCGACGGTCGGGCGACCCGGGAGATCTCCGCGCGCGAGAGTGTCTATCGTCCGCGAGCGGAAGCGCCAGCCTTTCGTCCGGTGAAACGGTTGCGCGCGTGCACAACGACCGCTGTGCACGCGCGAGAGTTCCGACGAGCGAAACGTGAAAACGTGGAAGTTCGCTCGATTCATTTCGATCGAGCCTGAACTCCTGCCTCCGCACGAAGCTTCCTTTGTCCGCGGCGTTATCGCGACGCGAAGCGCAGAGACTTAGGCCTCCTTATCAGCAAGCTCGATTACAAAGATTTTAATTTGGAAAAAAGAAATGATAACAAGATGAAATCCGAGTTTATCAGGAAATATAACGTTATATAACGTTTATATTATACTTCTGGCAAACGTCCTCTCTTATTGTATACCGGTTATTGTGATAAATATTATCACATGCCTCGGTCAAATTGGTAAAGGCACCCGCCCCGCAAAGTTCGGGAAGTTTTAGTTTTAAATTTTGGCTGAAATGTTTTTCGCAATAATTTGTTGGCAATGTTTTAAGATATTTATACACATCGGATTATTAAAAAATTGAAGATCTTACTATTCTAGCTTCAGCTGATTGCGTTACAAATCCGGTATTAATTTGACGCGCAGTTTAAATGACTGAATATTGGATTTAAAGTTCACATAGAAATATTATTAGCTTCAGCCTCGACTAGAAATAGAAAACGTTCCCAAATTTATTTGTGATGTTCTCGTACGCGGTCTAGTTGAAATTATTATTGCTTATATGTTACTAGGGAACTTCTATCGCATCAATCCGACGGATTTCTTTATCTCTTCGTAAGATCAGCTTCTAAAGATGTATACTTAGCGTTACGTAATCACAAATCGTTTCTAGTTTTATATTAATGTTGTTCCTTGATTTAAATTGATTCGCGCGAGTCGAAAGTGACGTTATCGCAATTCTTGCTGACGATGCTATTAAAGCCGTTTGCGCGAAGGAAATCGCTACGCTTCGTTGATTTCGCGTAACTGTCGTCGTGCTGCGAACTCCGAGGAAACGTTCTCGATAACGACGCACACCCTGCAGACTCGTTGAATCATCCAAGCTACTATATACAGGGTGCATCTCGAATGAGAGCGACCGCGGTGGCAGGGACGACGTGAAATCGATTCGTTTTCCGCGAAACTTTGACGGGGGGTGGGGGCGCGGGGGATCGTTCATAGATTCAGCCTCGTCGAGATTCAGGTCTGATTCTGACCGTCGAAAAAAATTGGACGATCCGCACGATTGTTGATGTCCGCGTTTCGTCGGGCCTGCGAACGATGAACGATGCAGGCCAAAATCGAGTCGGGCACACCTCTCGCGCTTCTGGAGGAACATCCTGTATACCGAGACGTGGGCGCATTCGCGAAATCAGCCCCTGGCTGCGTCGCCGTGTGCACGTCGGCGTCGCGACGCCGGCGCAGATGGCTGGATCGATCCCCGTGTTCGCTTTCCTTCGCGAGTCTCGCACGACGAGGCCGAAGTCGCGGGGGAGCGAGCGAGACGTATAGGAAAGAGCGAGGAACGCGCGGGGGTTGACGACGACGACGACGACGACGGAGTGCGCTGTCGCCGTCGTACGCCATCCTTACGATGTGACGGATCGCGAAGAGGAGCTCTCTAACCATCCTCCTCACGCGCCTGTCTCCGACGAAGAAGAACGCCTTCCTCGCGCCGGTTAAAAATATATATTCGGGACATGGCGACGTGAAGCGACGGTGGGCGGCCGTTAAATCCCCGTGAGAGATCGATCGACGACCGGCCGTGTGACATTGGCCCGAAAGCAGTACCGTCATGGAGTACCGGTACGGCAGCACGAGGTGCGAGGACGACTCGCTGGAGAACGAGAAGGGCATCGGCGTTGCGGTAAGGGATGCTCGGGACAGGAATCCCCGTCCTTCTCCTTCGGAGAGTGTGCTCTCTTCACGGACAACCCGCTCGAGGGTGCCGCGACAGTGCGCGTGACACTCGGGTGGGATTGTCGTCGATAACATCATCAGAGTGTCATTCATTGGGGTTCTCTCGGTCGCGAGTTTTTGCATCGTTTATCGAAGTACGGTTCCACGACGAGTCCTGGTTTCTGGAGCTGAAAACTGATCTTTGATATCGTTTATCTATAAAAAAAATTAATAGACAGATCGAAGAGATTTTATACATTATCTTTGATAATTTTATTCTCGAATTTGGATTTCGTTGCACTTTATACAGACGTGGTTGCACACGATGATTTCATGCGTTATTTGTCGCATCCCTAACATGCGAGGTGTGCCGCACGCGCAATCGTCCGAACGACGTCCCCGCGGTCGATTTGCGGCTGCCTCGCCGAGAGACACGTCCGTGCGTTGAAACGCGACGGGGGAGTCTCAGAGTTTCGAGCCTCTTCGCGGATGCGATCCCAGATTTATCGGACTGCCGGCCGCGCGTCGCGCGCGCGGTGACGCTATTTCTGGAGTTCAAACGGGGTTGCGGGCCGCCCTTTCTCTCTCTCTCTCTCTCTCATGCAGCACGGTGGCTCTCGCACGGCTTCCGCGAGAGTCGCGCCGTGGGCACGGAGGCGTGTTCCCGTCCGTCGTCGTTCCGCAGCCATTCGTCCCGATCATGAGACAATGCGGTGCTCGCGTGCACGTTGTTCCGGAGAGCGGCGGGATGCGCTGTCGGCGCCGCGCCGTTATATAATCCGTACGCGAATATCGATTAATATTGTTGCAGTCGGGAGTCACGCAGAAGGTTCGTCGAACAGATCCCGAAACCCCACGAGAGTGCGGTACGTATGCGCACTTGGCGGCTCGACGCTGCCGAGTGAAAAATTCGGAGAGAATAGGGATATCAGAGGAGTACGGGGGGGTGAAAGGGGATCCGAGATCGTGCTCGGATTAAATGGCCAAGATTTATAATATATCTATATATATAAACGATTGAAAGCGAAGTTCGCAATCTAATCGTCGAAATTCAATTACCCGGGATATCGATCTCCTTCTGCGGCTAATGCGTGACTGGGAACGATACGCTGCTGCTGATAATCCCCGGCTCTTACATCTTGATACCGAAGTAACTCTTTGTTCGCGACGGCTGTAGAGACGCGATAGCGATCGAGACGTATCGATCAAAGAGCCCGTCAGGTATATGCTTCTTTGTAATAAACGATTTCTTGCGCTCCTCTAACAAGCGATTCGTATCGGAAGAAAAGAAAAATCTCTTAACAAGAAATGACGTGTGCGTGTGTATGTAATTCGCTTTAATTCTGTCTTTTATAACTTTATCTTTTTCCCATGTCTATCATTGCCTCATTGTGTTCCGTGTGTCCCTCGCTTCGTTCACATGGACATCCTGTCTTCTATACAGCAGAGTCTGACGCAGCTTTTCTAACGAAGAAATCCTTGTTTTCAGGGCTCTTCGAAGCGCGGCACGTCGCAAACGCGCGGCACCGCGATGTCCTTCGGCTTCCGGCGACGGCCCACCAGTGGGATTCCGATGCCGATAACGAACTACGCCGGCACCACCAGCGAGAAGAGCCTGCTGCATCCGCGATCGAAGTCGGCCGGCCCGGAGCAGGATCGCCGGCGGATGATGGACGACGATAACAGCAACGTGATCCACAACTCGTCGTCCGGCCGGTCGACGCCGCGGCTGGCGCCGCCGAAGAAGGACTCGAGCGGGATCGGCGTCAGGACGAATCGCTTCGGCTACCGGCAGCCGCAGGCGAGATTCACGAACAAGGTCGGCGACATCTGCAACAGCCACAACATCAGCCACTACAATCAGGAGAAGCTGCAGCAATATCCGCAGCATCAGCAGCAGCAACCGGACAACTACTTCAAGCAGCAACAACCGAACCGGGTCGTTGCGCATGTGCCGCAGCACTTGTGCGGCACCACGACGCCGGCGAAGTCTCGCCCGTTGCAATCGAGTAATGCGGCTTACGGCGGCAATCCGATGGCGCAGCACGCGGACGCGAACAGACGAGCCTCGGGCATTCCGGAGCCCGTCAGCAGGTACACGCTGCACACCAGTCATCTGCCGCTACCGCAATACGCCGTGCGGATGAACGACTCGAACTCCAAGGTCGCCAAGACCGTGGCGAATCAGAGCAGAAAGATATCGACGTCGACGTCGAAGGGCTCGTCCAGCTCGAAGGAGGGCTCGGTGACCGAGGATTCGGGTGTCAGCAGCCAGCCGACCGGTCCGGAGGACAATGACAGGTTCAGAACGATGGATTACATGGACGACGGCTCCCTGAGGAGACGCGGAATCGGCGTGTGCCGACCGAGAAACCTGCGCATGGTGGTGTCCGGCAAGAGCTTCGACGTGAGAGACGTCCGCGACGACGACAGCACGGTCACGGAGATCTCGGTGATCCCGCTGCCCAAATCTTTCGCGACCACCGCGGCCAGTCTGAATACCGGCTTCGTGCGTGAGCGGGCCACGCAGTACCAGCGAATCGTCAACAAGGACAACAGGTACACCGACTCGACCGCGTCCATGTCCACCACGTCCTCAGAGGGCTACGACGAGGGTTGTCTGAGCGAGGAGAAGGTCTACAAGGATCGATCGCGCACCGAGAAGGTCCCGTCCATGAAATCGGACTTCAGCCCGCCCAGCTCAGACGATCCCGAGTACGGCCACGGCGAGGCCATGGCGGACGAGTACTCGTTGAGCTCCAGCGACGAGTATCAGCGTACCAATTCCATCATCGCTCAGCACGCGCAAGCGGTCACCGCCGCCACGAAGGGCGGCACGGCATCGAAGAACGCTCTGCGCTCGGTGTTGCTCACCATCGAAGATCCGGCATTCGCCGCCGCCGCCGCCACCACAACCACTTTGATCGACGACGAGACTTCACCGGTCGACAGCCTGTTTGACAGCCCGACTGCCAGCATCACCCAGTCGGACGGAAAGCCGTCGAAGAGGGACGAGGAGCACGCGCACGAACGTTCGGACAACACTCTCGAGGACGACGGTCCGGGCACGCCGACGAACGCCTCCAACTCGCTCAGCTTGTCCGAGGGTAGAGAGTTCTTCGACGACGAGATCGCGGACCAGCCCGGATTGATTTTCAGCGACAGCAACCAGAGGGCGAGAGTCGAAACGCCGTCCGCTATAGGGAGTCAAGAGAATAGCCACACTGTGGTCGAGATAAGCTCTAAGATGAGTGAGTATATAATTTGCTATTCTTGGCATTTTTGTCTCCTCCAAATTTCATATATTTTATGAGATTTAAGTTGCTAAATTTTTATTAAATTCTAATAATTATTACACTTTAATAGAAATAAATATAATAAAGTAAAAAAAAGAGTTAGGTCAACAAAGGAGCAACTTTTTGGTTGTTTAAATTAATATAAAAAATATTTTAATAATGATGGCCATCAATTTTTATTTATTAAAATATTTTTATACATACGAGCGATAATTATTTTATAACCTAAAATAAATATATTTTGTTAAATATACGTAGTTAGATATCTTTTAGTGAAATATATATCTCGTCACACTTGACAAATAATACAAATGTGATTTGTATTACAGATGCTGCGCATAACAAACGCGTAACGAACAGTCCTCATCATGGGCAGCGTTTACGTCGAACAGCAAGCCTGGACACTCTATCGCCCTGCGAATCCATCGCGTCGGATGATTTAATGTTAGATTACGACGGCAGCGACGCGAGCTCCTACGAGGAACAGCAGCGGTTAGCATTGAGCGATATAATTTTTGATAAGCGAGATATATATATACGTTACAGATTAGCTCGAACGTAGAAGTAAACGTATTACTAATTCTTCGTCGAATCGAATTATCATTGTCCGTCTTTCTTTCTCTCTCAGATTAAATTCCAATCCCGCGTTGCACGAGCTGGATGACGCAACTATAATCTCCGAGCTGGAGGCTCAGGGCGAGGAGGTGATGAGGCAGTGGAGTTCGTTATTGACCACCGCGCACATGGAGGAGGCGAATTCCAATTCCGCCAACAACAATTCCATCAACAGCACGACCGGCAACAATAACAATCAGGCCGCCACCGAATCCGGGTGTGTATTCGCATTTTTATTCGCTACCCTTCACGCCTGCGTTGCTGTCGAGACGTAAAACTCCGTGATGCATGGCGCTTCTTCGGGAATGATTAACGAAACGTGGATAGATGTGCCGCGGATAGATTTACAACGCGTGACGTACTTGCAAATGATATGTAAATTATGCAAAGACGTTCCTCCCCTCCGAAACAGGGGCGAAGGAACACGTAATACTGCTTTCTCGTGTTGTTATATTCCCTCGCATAGATAGACCCCCTCCCGGTAAATTACAGTTATCTCATTTCCGTTTTTCTAGCGCTTTTTTTTTTATTTTGTGCATCGCTTCTTAGGTATTCTAATTGCAACGTCGTTGTCTTTGTCTTTTGTGTCTTGAACGAATCTGTATATACTTGTATATATCAGTCATCTTTAGTTCCTTTTTTTTTAGTTACGTAATATCGATTGTAACATCGAATGCACAATTTTGATTTAATCTCGACGCGTTTATAGCGGAGCTCTCGCAATAAATACTGTAATACAGTGCAGAAACTGTAGCAGGCCTTAACTAGAGACAGTACGCTGTCTGTATGGAGATTGAAAAAGTACCTGATCGATGCTACAATATAGTTAGTCGATAAAGTATGCATACTGTACGAAGGAAGGAGACAAAGGATGTGTCATCCAACCATTAAATTGATGTATATCCGCTGTCTGTGTCCACCGTAGCTGTAAGCCACTCTCTTAAATTTTGATCAGCATGACCTTTCGAACGTTTTTGTATATCATTTCTCTCGTGTACAAAAAAAATTTCGCAAAGGTAAATGCTAAAATATTAAAATGCCACATGAGAAATGATGTGTGCAGGTGATGGGAGCATCTATACATTTTTTAGATTTAACGCCGACGTTTTAGGGAAAGATATATCTTTTGCACTTTTTACATTTTTAATATTATAAAAAACTGGTATCTTTTGACAGTATCTTTTGGGAAATCTCGTGATGTTTTAATTTTCTTATCCAATATATATCAGACTTCTGGCTTTTTTTCTGTAACATATGATCTTTTCATTCGAGTTGAATAACCAGATGATTGATTAACGAGAGTCTTGGAGAGGAAGAAAAGTGTCGCACAACATCCCTTTAGAAATTCTTTTCATATTCCATATTCATCATATACTATTATATAGATACGATATATATGCAATTTTACAATTTTAGTCCACATTCTGAAATGACATTAAACCGCGACAGAGAATCGTCGAAAACTCATTAAGCGCGTCGCGCGGGGAAATTGCACGTGTAAAACTTCGTCTTACATTGCCTTAATCTCTTAATTGAGGGAAACGATATTTTCCCGTATCGGGAGCATGAAGTACGTCGGAGGCAACATTTCGGATCGTGGTATCACGCGCAATAACGATCGCGTTTAGCCGCGAGCCGCGTAAGTTTCGAGCACGTCATGGCCACATGCGCATAACAGCCTACTCTCTTTCACGTCGCCGGCTCCTTTTTTACTCGATAGCTTTCTCGGCGAACGAGAAAAGAAGTGTACCTTGTGAAGTTCATGTTAGACTTGCTCTCCCTCGAACGTTCCCTCCGTCCTCACCCCCTGTCCTCGTTCTCGTGATTTTAATCGACGTCCTTGAAGCTTTCGTCAAAACGTGGCATCACTTACTCGTCCGTTTCGTCAGTTTTCCGTTCTGCTCTTCATTAACGGTGATCAGTAGGACTCAATGTGTGCGGTCGTAAGATAGAGAGATGTATAGAAAAATTAAATATTTCTTTTCGCAAATTGTATTGAATAATGCCGATTTACGGAGGTCTATATAGGGAAGAAATATAGTCGAGTACATTGATTCACATTGCTAATATTGAATAATGTTTTCGTACAAGGACCTGCTAATTTGCTGAGAGCGGGAAGTATTATTCTTTACGAAAATATTATGAATTTTCGGCAATGTGTCATCCGGGCTCTTCTGTATCTGACCGTATCTGCTTTATTCTTCCCTATATGAGTTTTTATATGTACATACATTATGAGACGTACGTACACCGCGTGATCTTTTACCTCCTTGCTTGTACAAAAATATAACGAAATAAACATGCCCGCACACATCTCGCCACACAGGAGACGCCACAATTCAGCGACAGTATTCTGTGTTCTAGCGCGCTAATAAAACGGGTGAAGCAATTGCAAATCCCCGATGAGGACTCCGCGGGTGGAGACTACTACCAGCTGACGTACCCTAACTAGCGAGCAGGGTCCGCCGGTCCTCCCTTGAATGTCGACTAGGCAAAACCGATAACCGCACGCCGCCGATTACCGAGAGACACAGTAATAATAATACACGGACGCAGGCTTGACGCGTGAGTGGTCGCGTCTTTTGTTAAAAGATAAAAAACAAAAAAAAATTAAGATGAACTCGTTGCGAGGCTCTCTGAAGATATTAATGGTCGGAAGGTGTACGGGTTTTACGAGATAAGACGAGATAAGATATTTCATCGCGGAGTGAAAATAAAGAGATTAAGAGTTTTTATTTGCCACACAAAGCTCGTGGCGCGACCACTCGCAAGTTAAAGACAAACGTTGTCAAAAGTGAGAGAGAAAGAGAGAGAGAGAGAGAGAGAGAGAGAAAGTGGGAAGAATCCGAGCGATGATAATAAATATAGTGTTGCAACTGGGAAATTTGGCGATTGGCTATGGTTGTGCGTCTGTGACTCTTGCTTAGGGTATGGCTAAATGAAAGAAAACGCGGAAAATTGTTTTTAGTATACAGAGCGTTTCCAAGTTTATTCCAAAGTTAGTACATAGTCTGATGAGTCTTTTCTTTTAAATTTTCAAAGGATAATCGCGATTCATTGTTATTTAGTGTAAGAACATTCTCTCGCGCGCAGTCCTCTGGTCTAATAATTTTCTACGAACTAACGTTAACGCTTGTAGGTATACTTTTCTAATCTTTTAACAGATTTTATATAATTATTGTTCGATATGTTGCGTGTCTTTCTTGCTTTCGAGAGAGAAGTATTAATTTTTGTGTGTTCCGAGAAAAATATTTACATATACAACTAATAACGTAACCAGCTACCCCATCCCGTCCAATTTCTTAAACCGGATGTAGATGGGAAAGATGCTACCTCAAAGGTTCTCCTATCCTCGCGGATCGATTGGGTCTCCTCTAATTTTCCAATCTCCGCTAATTTACTCCTCTTCCGTTTCTTTTTTTTTTTTTTTTGAGGGAAATATAGCTTAACGTGTATTTCACGATACGAGACATCGGGTAACTTCGTTGAGATTACAGTATGTCCTTATTATAATCGCAAAGATTATCGATTCTCTCGAAGTATAGTCAAAATGTAGTCGAAACGTAGTGCCGAACAGAGATTAACCCGCCGACACGTGTAAACCGCCGTTTTACAAGTCGCCTCGCCGCGTCCTGGTTACAACACGCTTACGAGGACTCGCTTGAAGCGTGAGCAGATCGCGCGAACTCTCAGCGGTGTGTAATCCCGGGCACTAGGCGAGCGCGTCTGGTGACGTGGGTGTGATAGAGATTATTTTTCTAATTTCGTATTTTTCCAATAACGATGGCCGAACGCCGGCCGAATCCTTCCAAAAATTGTCGTCCCGTCGTCGGGCGCCGGTGATACCAAGCCGGTTTCGACGTCCCGAGTAGATGCATTCTAGTCCTCGTCCTAGTCGTCCCAACGACCGTCGCTTTTAAACAGTAACCATTGACACTATTTAATACGTATTACAGATACGTAGCGCAAGGGGTAATAATTATTTCAATACTACCGGCTACCAGATAGCTAATTAATTAATCGTATACTGGCATTATACAATCGTGGCATTATACAGAGCTTGTTAGGTGTAAACGCGTATAGCTTAGTAGAAGAGAGTCAATGAACGAGTAATCGACTCAATGTTATCCTTCCCTCGCCTTCTTCGAATTTACCGCGAAGGAGAGAACGACGCAGCTTATTAACGCGTTCAACAGTACGTGCAATAACGTGTTGCATTCCGTTAGTTTAATCAATCGAATTATTTGGAATAAGTCAGTCAGTGTTACGCTCGCTTACGGCCGCTTTAAAACCGTTTCGATCTTTCGGTTCTGGACGCCCGCCGTTACGTTACAGTAAAGTTGCGCGTGTTCTCTCTTCGGTCTCTCTCGCGGCTCTCGGTGTGCTCGTCCTCCTTCACCGTGATCACGAAATGTTCCCGCCCTGTCATACGCGGGCACACCGTTATCTCACATCTTCGATTCCTAGCATGAGCGAGACACGATCGTGCGATCGTGCAGCTTCATTCCCCTCTTCAAGTGGATCTCATTCTCTTCCCAGAATTGAGGCGCTTATATAAATACTTGTCTCAACGTTCATAGGCGTTTTAAATTCCACGCTTGCGAAAACGGGCAAAACAATGGCTTGTACTTTTTATTTCGACGAGGGTCCGGGGAAGCGCGTTGAGAAGCGACACAGCTCGAGGAGCTCGCGTAATTCTGCGATTAGTGGTACATAAACGTATACACGCATTACACGCGGAGAATCGCGATTACCGACGCGTAACGATGACACGTATTAACGCAACGTATACATACACTTATACTTAGCATAGTACTTATGAGAAACATATTGCTACTATTCCGGAACTTTGAGTGGCAGCTCGTTGGAGCTTGCCTCCTCACTCCTCCCGCTTCTCTTCCCCGCGTAGAAAATTGTCCCTCTTTTTTTTTCTTGCGTTCGCCCTTTCGTCTTCCTCGGTGTCAACCTTTCTATAAGCTTACATTTCCGATAACTTCCTGTCGTGCCTAGAAAAAGACCCGACAATAGCATTCTAGTATCCAATATATATACGTCGCGCAATATCCGGAAAGCTACTCTCCTCGATGAACCGTCGGTCCTACCCTAGAATTAAATTGACGTCGAATTGGCCGCCGTCGTGCCGAGCTACGTTTCCGCGACGTTTAATGTCCGCGAGTATTTATATCCACACGCGTGTACTCAAGTGTATCCTTAATT